GTCTCCGAAACGTTGTGGTTTGGAATATGAAGCCGACGGTGTTTCAGGTAAAAACAAGGCGATGGGTAATGTCCCCCCCCCCTTGGCACCACAGCCCCAGTGGGCCTAGGCCTACCTCCATGAACTCCGTTCACTTCGGTTTTTCTAGATCTTACACATACGGTAGGACTCCTTGGGCGGGTGATCAGCTCGTCGCAAGGCCTCTACCTGTATACAAACACAGAAAAACGCACACAAACATCCATGCCCTGAGTGGGATTCGAACCCACGATCCCGGCTTCCGAGCGAGCGAAGACAGTGCATGATGGCTAATGTCCAGAAACATAATATTTTTATTTCATATATAATATTTGATTTATTAATATTATAATTATTTTGTGTAAATTATTTTGATCCATCATGCATAGTGATTCATTCACAGACTGTACCTTTCATTTAGAATTTACTCTCATGGTTTCTGTCTTTGTTTGGTCCCATTTGCACATGGCATTCTTTTCTGCTCATCTGTACCTAGCATTTTAATTACGGAAATGGCTCAGTTTGCGAGTATTTACAATTCTAAGGGATGTAAATGTGGAATAGACACCAGGCCGATTTGCTAAATATATATACCTATTATTACATGGTCGTACTCCCTAGTTACACCACTGGACTTCGTAGTGAAGGTCCACTTTGAATGTGAAATTTAATTGCTAGATTTTATCACACATCTTCCAAAGATTCATCCTCTGAAAACAGAATGTTATCCCCTGTACGAATAGAGGACGAAATGTCCGTGATTTGGGATGAGGTTTTAGGAACTTCCCCTGAATATTATTCTGTGAAGGGTGAGGAACAAAAGAAATGTGACTTACAGTATCGAGAAACTAATTTGTCCTATCAAGACAAACTTCATTCTCCTCCTCCAAGCCTCTTCTGCTCCTTCTCTTCAAAATATGTAGCTGTGTCTGTAACAGGCCGTCCCATTGGGTTTGAGACGTCGAGTGTCCCTCATCATCTACACAGTCGGTAAAGTCGTCAGCCCTAGGAAAGATTCCCGGTACTCACTTATGTTAGAGGCTCAGTCGACCCCTGTGCGGATGGAAGGATTAGGTCAATTGACGTTCAAATAAAGGAGATCGAAGATAATACACGTTCATATCCAGAATGGTCTAAGACAAGGAGATGCTTTATCGCCAATACTTTTCAACTTTGCTTTAGAATATGCCATTAGGAAGGTCCAGGGAAACCAGGTGGGACTGAAATTAAACGGAACACATTAGCTGTTAGTCTATTCTGATGATGTGAATCTACTGGGTGATAATATAGATACCATAAGGAAAAACACACAAACTTTAATTGACGCAAGTAAAGAGGTTGGTCTAGAAGTAAACACAGAGAAAACTAAGTATATGTTGCTGTCTCGTCACCAAAATGAAGGACAAAATCATGACATAAAAATAGGAAACAGATGTTTTGAAAATGTGGCACAGTTCAGATATTTGGGAACAACGATAACAGATCGAAACCTAATTCAGGAGGAAATTAAAAGGCGATTGAACTCGGGTAATGCTTGCTACCATTCAGTCCAGAACCTTTTGTCTTCTCGTCTGCTGGCCAAGACCATAAAAATTATAGTATACAAAACTATATTTTTGCTTGTGGTTTTGTATGGGTGTGAAATTTGGTCTCTGACATTAAGGGAAGAACATAGACTGAGGGTGTTTGAGAACAGGGTGCTGAGGAGAATATTCGGACCGAAGAGAGATGAAGTGACAGGAGGTTGGAGAAAACTGAGGAGCTTCATAACCTGTACTCTTCTCCAAGTATAATTAGAATGATTTAATCAAGGAGAATGAGGTGGGCGGGGCTTGTAGCACGAATGGGGGAGACGAATGCATATTGGATATTGGTGGGAAGGCGAGAAGAAAAGAAACCACGGATAAGACCAATGCGTAGGTGGGTAGACAGTATTAAAATGGATCTTAGGGAGATAGGATGGGATTGAATGGATTGGATTAACCTGGCTCAGGATAGGAAGCAGTGGAGGGTTCTTGTGAACAGGATAATGAACCTTCGGGTTCCATAAATGCTGGGAAATTCTTGACTAGCTGCAGAATTGGCGGGTCCTCAAGGAGAGCTCAGCTTCATTAGTAAGTAAGAAGTTAATACACGACATCCCTCCCCAAAATTAAACCACTCATATGAAACAAATTTACGGGTGAAGAAACAACGAAGATACAACCCATGACCAGGCTTCATATTATGGGATGGAGGACCGATGGGCTGGGTTCGAAACCATAATCTTTCTGAAATAGGTGAGACGCACAAATTATAACAGAAATATTCCACTCAGTATCATCATAATTTTATTAAAGATAAAAAAATAAGTACATGAAAATATACTTACAACATTTGGGGTACAAATATGGAAGTCTGAGTAAAAGAAGCGACAGATATTCAGTCATGAGTAACATATACTCTGATGCTGATTATGACATGGTAAACATGAAGATTATGATGTTGAGTACGTTATAATTTCGTAAATTTCGATGCTAATGCTAGCGATGATGTTCATCATGGTGATGGTAATAATAAAGTTCATAATGATGATAATGAAAGTGGTAGGGAATTGAAAGAACAGTAAGAAAAATGATAAAAATGTGTAAGCAAAATCACATTGCGCAATAATGATCACGAAAGTAATGGGAATTATAAAGGTAGCAATATCAGTGATGGGAAAGTCAAAATGGCAAGCCTATAGGGAATAGCATATATAATTGCGATATCATTTGCATTTTGATGACAGTTATGTTAATGACGAGAGTGATGATGACCATTCTGATACAAAAATAATAAAAAGTCAACCAATTCACAGCAGTAAAATATCTATTATGAAATATCTGAATGATAATGAGCCAGTACAAACATTTCACTTGTATATACTGATCTAATACGAACATGGGAAATGGAATGCCATAATAAATATACAATAACATGTAAGAAAATGTAAAGTTTTCCCCGTACTTAACTAATTTTCACTACGCCATTAAGACGTGCGGTGGAATGGATGTGTAGAACCAAATTTTCTAGACCTCGGCACTAGTTAGAGGTGAGTGTTTAGCTTTATTCTCCTGCCGCTTTACCCCCGGGGAAGCAGCCCCTGTACCCATTGGATAGGAGACTTGGTGGGCCCCAGGTCTACTCTGGAGAACAGAAAATTCTTGTCCCTACTGGGACTCAAAATCCGACCCTTTTGTCGTCCAGCCGGTAGCCAGTTGCTATCCGACTTAAATTTGAATTAAGACAATGATAACCAAAGAAATTTTTCTGATATCCAGAATTAACAAAATGAATATAGAGAGATCAGTATTGTAACGTTATGCTGCAAAAAATTTTGTTAGTAATAAGTTCAGATCACTGGAAGATGTGGTACGAAAGTTATAAGATAATTCCGATGGTGATAATATTACTAACGATAATGATTTTTACGTTATATATTAATATATTTTTTATGTATATTATGTAGGATTTGTATATCACCTGAAATATTAGTAGCAATAGATAAACAACTTTTCAAAAGAAAATAAATATTTAAAAATCACAGGGAAGTAGAAACTAAAATTGTAACTAAACGCGACATTTGCAAGAGTTTGTAATGAAAATGAGATTATAATTAACACTAACATACCCAACGTAATGATGTGACGTGATATAATATATTATGTATGATAGTATATGACATGACATGATGATGTGATCTGAGCTGATCTGATATGATATAAACATTATGTCTAACATAAACAGTGTAAATGGAATGAACATCTGTGTGCTGTAAGTCTATTGCGCCCTTAGTGGAGTGACCCTGGATTAGACACGTGTTCCGATCTCGTGATGTTACGTGAAACTGAGAACGTGAGCTGTTTTCAACTGACTGCCAAGAATTCTGTCTTCTTAGTATACAGCTCAACGGGTTATTCGAGATTGTTTTCTTTTTAATTGGAAAAATATATCTTTAAGAATACTGGGATAATTTCTGTTTATTTTAATGTAGGAATACTTAATTTAATAAAATTTAAAAATGTTACGAGATCGTAAATTATCAAACGCCCATTTTAACAATAATATATCAATTACTCGCCTAAAATAATTAAGAAAATATTAATCCATAAAGAGAAGCACGCAGACTAGAAAGTATTCTAAGCATAAGCAAATACGTACGTTCATAGAGACCTGTTATTTTCTATAGAAACAAAATTTCTCCAGGAAAAGTATAATTCTTTTTAAATACCTTCTCTAAAGGGTGTATGCAGAATCGAATAATGTGGTACGGTGAGCTTAAAACATTTCCATAAATTCGTAAGTAAATATTTGTTAAATAATATGCAATTCTTGGTACAAAAATTAGTCCAATTTTCTTGTTCTTTCACAGAATTAACTGTCTGGCCTCTGTATGAAACTGAATTATTTCAGATATTTAGCAGGAGATAGGCACATCATAAGGTTTAAACCTACATAGAACAGTATAGAACCAAAATATCTGACATAAAGCAAGGCCACCAGCTGGAGTCGAACCTGCGGTCCAAATTTTCGGGCTGCCCTAAACCCCAGGTCACCATATTCGGCAAGCGTGCAGTGTTATGAAATTTAATAGTGTTATTAGAATTATGCAATTGGTGAATGTCGTTAAATAAGTCAAATCATATTTATAGTTTTACTTAAATAAATATGACATGTTAGGCAACAGACCTGACTGGACTGAAACCTTGTCTGAACTCCCATGAACAGTTCTTAGGGGTTGTACACAGGGGTACGTGCTTCACCACAGACTCAGAGCTCTCGCGAAAGATTTAAGCATGTCTTTTTAATGAACAAAACGAATAAGCACCTTCTTGCTCGCAAATTTCATTGTCCTCCAAACCTCCTGACTTTCAGCTCTTGCGATATCCATTTTAGACCGCCACATTGTCAACATAATATTTCATTGTTGTTAACTTGAAAACATTGTAAGGAGTTTATCGCTAATGGTGCTGGTGAATAGGGTGAATGGCGTGTCCGGACCTCACCACCTGCGCGTGGAACCCGGTGTGTTTGTCAGCGGTGTAGTGTACTGTACGAGTGGTGCCATCTGCCTCCAGCAGCTTGTAGTAACCTTCGACCTTATGGCCGTCACGTTTCTCAGCCTGCTCCTTGATGTCGTGAGTATGTGTGTCCTTCACACCGTACTTGAACTCGTATTTGGGGTGGGCCTGTAAATGTAACAATTCAGTACATTAATTTAGAGCATATTTAATTGAAGAATCTCTAGAATAACTAGCGCAGTCAGTACAGTGTATAAACTGCGGACTGGACGACCGAGGAATCAGGGTTCGGAAGTTCCGGTAAAGACATAGTCCAGACTGGATTTCAAGTCCCCCATCTTACTATTCCTTTGTTACTGCGACCTCTTTTCTCGGGGGTAATGCTGCTGATACGTGAAGTTGGTTTTTCACCAAGTTCTAGTGTCAAGTATAGGAATGCGTGGATTTATACGCCCTTTCTGCAACATTTCTTCCATGAATGGTGCTTAATTAGCCATAAGAACAACTTCGCCACCGTGTGTAATAAAAAATAATTTATCTGCATCTGTGTTGTACTGTTTATCAGGAGGACACAATGTAAGTTATAATTTGTCTAAAATAGTTTTGAGAGTATGTAATAAGTTGAACATGCAACTTTACGGAAGCGAAATTTCTTTTATGTCAGTTTTGGTTCTCATGACACATGTAAAATATTATGGCATATATACCAGTTGTTAGGCAATGAGTGCGAAACGAACAACTAGACAACGGACATTGTTATGCAACAGCTTCGTAAATACCCAACAGTATTGTAGCCGTTGCTAGGCAGCGTCCCGCGCGCAGCAATGTAAGTACTTTTGGAAGCGATATTTTTTATAATTCCGCTCCGAGGCTATATCATTCGGGATCTCCGTGTGGAGGCGGGGACAAACACCTCCACCGTGACCCTGCGAGTGGTAGGAGGCGACGAAAAGAGAAGTCTCAGATCTGAGACAGTAATATACGGTCGCGAGCCCCAAGGGACTCGAGCCCGAGAAAGACCGCACTGACAAGGACCAGCAGCATATGTAAAAGACAGACCAGTACTCTCGTCAGAGAGGGCACCCAACAAAAATAAGACCGTAACTGTCAAACGGTAATAATTAATATCTGGTCATGAGCCCCAGATGTGGCTTGACACCAAGACTTACTGACTAACCGTCAGTCGCAATGTGACTTTGTCTTTGAATTGAAGCGAGTTCGAATGCCTCCATCGTAGCGTAGCGAGTCGTAGCGGGGGATGAATAGGAACCAATTGCCTGGGAGTATAACTGGGCCACCCTGTTCCTGACCCACGAGGTTGACGGAGTATTGAATCTAAGACAGCAAAATATGGTCGTGAGTCTCTCGGGACTCGGACCCCACAGCATTTCATTCTTATAAGTTTAATAATTCGAGTGCCACTTCTTCCAGTGTGCTAATCTTCTTGTGCTAATTAAGAGGTGAAAGTATCCTACTGTTATTTACATTATTTATTAAGTTCATTGAATACACAATATTAATCTACCCCGTAATATTCAAATAGTCACAAGCTTCAGATAGATGTGTGATATCCACTGTAGCATCCTGTCGCACTTTTCACTTAGTATTGATTATTTTTTTTTAGTCTCGTGTGCAACACTACATTCTATAAAATTTATCAAATTTTGTTCACTTGTGTAAAAAGTTTATCATTACATGTTTCGACTAATGTGGTCATCATCAAGTGTTAAAAACACTGGGCCAGGAAACTGTTTTCTTATGTTGTTAGTAAGTTCTTTCGATGCGCATATGTGTTTGAGATGGTGGGTTGTATTCTCTCATGTTTTGTGTTGTGCTGCTTGTCTTGTTTTCCAATGCATTCGAAATTTTTCAAACTAATCAGCATTTAATAAATTTAATTTATGTATTTAAGTGTGATTAGGAGAATTTGTAACAACGGTGCTAATAAATCCAGTCATCCGAACTAGGACCCCTTATTTTCGTCACGCGTACCACCCTACAAGTGACAATATGACCATCGGGGAAATGGCTTACTGATTCAGAAAAGATCCCATTATTTCTTTTATTTTTGTGGGTGTTCTTTTACAAAGCTGTAATTAGGCGGTCTATGCAGCGTCGAATGAAAGGGCGATAGATGAATGATGCATTGACAAATTTGGAAGGAAACAATAGTGGCCTGTTCGAGGTACTATCGCAGCATTTCTTTGGTGCGAATGAGGAAAACTACAGCTGCTCTCCCAACTAATATTCGACCAGGGAACCTCCGAATTAACTTTGCCGATACACCGGACCGTTCAATTTCATTATTTCGATATTTGCACTGAGATGAAACTCACGTGATGATGTTCCTCGACTTCCACTTCTCCGTGATGATATTCCAATGGCACTGCAGCATATTGAGGCAGTTCTTGGTGATGCTGTGCAAATGAAATCACCAGCAACATGCCGAATATCACTGCGACCTATGCAAGTAAAACAGCAAGGTTACTGCCTGTGCTTTCCTTTTACCTTTCATTCCTAAAATAAGAAAGTTCGCGTAAAATGACAAACACGTTTTCTCAGTGAAGAGCCAAGTAATTTGTTAAATAATTGCATGGGGCAGAGTTTTTTCCGGGAAGCTAAGAGTAGCTCAGCTATCATAAGCTCTCCCTCCTCATATTCAATTTGATCTCTAGTCACCGTGCTCACAAGAGCCTGCCACGGGTCCCAACACCGAGCTAAAGGAATCTAGCCCATTTCTTTAAGATTTATTTTACCTTCCCATCTTTGCCCACATCTTCACAGTGGTTCTTCCTTTCAGATTTCTTCCTACTCTTCTGCACGTCTCTCCTATGCGTTCTACAGCATATACCTATCCCATATCACATTCTTTGATTTTATCACCCAAACAGTATTTAGTGAATTGTTCATATCATGAAACTCCTCATTGTGCAGTGTTTTCTAACGACCGGTTACTTTCCCTCTTAGTTACTTCAAAACAATTCCATTGCTGTGACGTAACTGGAGGTGGGGCTATTCTAATACAAACCACTTTCAATTTAAGTATTTAATTAATTTTCATTTTAGGCACTATACTACAAGCCGAAAGGTCGCGGATTCAAGTCCCGATGAGGACATTGGATTTTTTTCAATTGATCTAATCCTTCCAGCCGCACTATGGCCCTGGAGTTAACTCAGCCTCTAACAGAAATGAGTATCAGGAATTAATTAAATAATTTTCCTGGGGATTAAAGCGCGGCCGGCGCGTAAGGCTGACAACCTTACCGCCATCTTTAAGCCGATTATCTAGATAATGTGGGACCCTCAACGTCTCACAACCCTATGGGCCTTCACGACCTGTTACAGGGATAGATTTATTCTTTTTGCTTACTAAGTAAACACACGCATGTTTTTATTATATTCAACGGGGACAGGGTTAGGATTGAAATTTAGTATATAAGGAGGAACAATCTTTGAATGAGATAATTTTCAAATTGATTATGTATATCCAATGAGTTAATTAACACCCGTTCACTTTTTAGAATGTTTGTAAAGTTGTTTTTCATTACAGCCCTTAGAGCCCTGTTCATAAATAGCGAATATCGAAACTTTGTTCTGCCGAGAAGAAATGTTCATACCACCATGTCAGCAAGTTTTGACATTGTTGCTTTTAGATTTATGTTGCAGATAGTAGCTTTCCACAGTTAATTTTCGGTATATTGATTTTATTTCGCTTGAAATTAATGTCTGTACGTACAGATGTACTGTTTCATTGTGTATGTTTCTAGATATGGCTATTTGTGAGAACTTACCTCGAAAGAAACCATGATAGCAAAAGCGACAAGAATAAGACGTAGGTCACAGCACCAGAGTGAATGATTCTCCAGTAACAAGTGACGTATATATATAGTAGTTCTGCATGAGGTGTTATTATGCAGTCCTTGTTTAGAATGCCACCGACCGCTACATTTTTCCACTTCAGCATTTCCATTTTACTCTGTTAGTTTCCGCCATTCTCCCTAGTCACTCTTTTGGTTTTTACCTAAAATAAGACTAATTAAAAGTCATCTTAATACTGTTTGCATTGTGCTGCAGCAGTGCAAGACAAGTGTAATCTGTGGTGTGAATCAGGATCTTGTGAAGATCTTCACACTTTCTTATATTTTTAATTTTTAACTGTTCTCTTTTGGTAATTCTTTAGAACTTAATAAAAGTTCACATTCTTCTTTAAGTCTTTCATGTAATATTATTATCAGTGGAGTTGCGCCTGTGCAAGGGAAGGAGGGGAGAAACAAATAACGAATCTTAGAAAACCTCTCATCCATTTTCTTTCAACATTCTGCAGTTATACAGATTAAGTAAAACACACGCCATTTCTTGGTTATCCGTTACGTGGTCATCAAACAGGTATGAAATCTGCTTGAAGACGTTCTATCTTCAGAGACGTAATTTTTGCAAGAGTCAACTCAAACGATGGGCTAAGGACTGGGACGGTACGGTGTTCGAATGCTAGTAGAGATATTGGTATAGCCTTTGATCTTCAAAACAAATTTATAGATTCCCTGTCTCTTCCATCCAACTCCCTATTCATTCCTTATTAAGACTTTATAATATGAAGAGAATATGCGGCCTGAGCTTGAACGTAATGGCAAATAGAATGAAATAGAACCAAATATCTTTATTATCACGAAAATTATAATGTATTTTACTACATTACATGTCATGTTGTTTTTGATGTAGCGTATAAGTCCGAATGCAGGACGACACGACTTTATCAATGAGGACTTCTTTTTAACAAAATTGAACGTATCCTTGGTTATGCAGGCTATTCCTCATAATAATCTCTTTTTTATTCTTAAAGATCCGAGAAAAAAATGGTCTCTCTTCTAAGAAGCAGAATTTGAAACAAAAGATCCTTTTGAAGAAGGTCGTGTTCTGGGTTTTGGCGCCGTGTATTCTTCGTTTTCGTATTCTCTGCATTCACAAGCCATTCACCTTCTCTGAAGATGGAGGCGGTATGTTCCTCCGAAACGTCGGCCAAAACGAAGAATACACGGCGCCAAAACCCAGAAGACGACTTTCTTCATAGTCATCGCAGTGAAAACCTCAAAACTTACAAAAAGATCCGTTTGTTCTGTCAGTTCCACTGAAATGATAGTATAGAATCACTTTCCTCATCAAGACCTACTTCGGTTTCGGGAGGGGGTACATTTGAATCTCGACTATAAAACAGGTTATCCTGACGAAGATTTTATGATATTCCCCAACTGATTAAGGTGTATTAATTTTAAAGTACCTTAGCCCAGTTAATTTCAATTTTACCAATCCTATGTTTCATTGGTAGTTTTGCCAAAACATAGCTTGTCCTCATCCAAGAATGTATTTTCAAACCTAGTAAAGTGAATTAATTAATTGATTAAGCACTAGGCCATGAAGAAATATGAGGTAATTAAGGTATAGTTCTACCATTCTTTACCTCGACACTAGATGGAGGCGAGCGGTCAGCTTCATGCCCCGGTCTCTTTAGCCCTGAGTAAGAGCCCTCTACCCAGTAGACATGAGGCTGCGTGTGCCTCAGAGATGATATAACTTGTTCCCGCTGGGATTCGAAATCCGGCCATACAGACTGTAAGCCCTCGCTGTTTTTTTTTTTTTCTTGGCACGACAGCCCCAGTGGACCTAGGCCTACCTCCATGAACTTCTCCGTTCACTTCAGTTTTTCTAGATATTACAAATTCGGTAAGACTCCTTGGGCGAGTGATCAGCTCGTCGCAAGGCCTCTACCTGTAGAGGAAAAGAGAAAAACGCACACAAACATCCATGCCCTGAGTGGGATTCGAACCCACGATCCCGGCTTCCGAGCGAGCGAAGACAGTGAATGCCTTAGACCGCTCGGCTACTGTGATCGGCAACCCCTCGCTATACTGACTGAGTTATTTAGACACTTTTTCTTACACCTGTGTTCTTTTTAATGTTGTAGTAATTAGTCCTGGAAGTTACTATTCTCCAGAACTATCATCCCTTTTAGCCAATCGCCCATTCCCAGCGTGCGCGTTCTGCCTTGGGCCATAACATATCCCTCATACATCATTTCCACTCCGCACGTCACAATCGCCGTGTTTCTGGGGGTAACACAATCCTAGCTGAAAAATTATCATTAACCGCTCATTCAACATTCCCTTTCCGAACTGAATAAAAATAATCAAGTCCAGAATTTATTCTTCCCCTAATTTCATTGGGGGCACGCGGTAGCGTAGTTGGTTGACTCAGTCTGTTGCACCTGCTCACGCTGGTTCGCTCGCGGATTTCTTCTTGTTTTCTACCCTGAAGATGGAGGCGATATGTCCCTCCGAAACATCGGGTAACACACTATCTACACAGCTCCACATCCCAGAAGACTGCTTTCTTCATTAACAATCACCGTACGCAAATTTAACTTAAGACGGTAATGCACGGTGCAGGTTCTGGAGACCCCGAAGTGTGTTCCCCCCCCCCCCTTCCCGTATCAGAAGCCCCACTTTCACTGGGACTAAGGTCTCATCTCGAGTGATATAAAGCAGACATCGAATTTTGAAGCGCCCAGAAGCTTCAGCTCATTGGAATGCTATCAAATGCCTCTTCAGTATCTCTACTCAGACTGACACCGTGGACTGAGCCCTCAGTCAGCTGCATTCATTTCACAGTCTGTTTCTCTAGGATACATCATGATGTTATCTTCCAAATCATTCTCAGTCTTCCAAATGAACATTTTCTAAGACGTTTACTATCCAAGTCTATACAAATTTCCATTTTCCTGCAGCCTGCATCCCATTGCGACATCTTTGATTTAGGAGCAACACAAATAACGAATTTTCATCATACGATATTATGATCGATAGACCCGTTGCTAAGCAATGACTGTAAACATCAACCGTTGCTATGTAGCACCCGTAACACATACGCATGCAACAATAGAAAACGGTGTTTTTATGTGGTCCGCGCTGTGACCGTTGCTATGCAAGGGCACGATAAACACACCTCTACAAGAACAGGGGATAGAGTTTTCTGCGTGGTCAGTGCTAATGAGTTACCTTGAAGGCAATCTGGGCGTCCCAGACAGAGGACTTGTGTGTAGTGCAAAAGGAAGACTTTTCGAGAACATTCCATATAAGCGAAATATACGCTTGATGAAAGGCCAAGCGTAATCATAAGAGACAAACCCATCTTCTCGCCAGAGAACATGTTACATTAGGACAATTATCGCAAGAGTTCACTTGAAAAAGTCTCTGGTCGTGCGTCCCAAGGAGCCTGAAGCCAGGGCAAACTGATTGACGGTAAACCGTCAGTCGTAAAGCAACTTTGATTTTTATGGCCCTGGCACTTGTCTGTTGAGAGGCAGTTCTGTACGGGAGGCTTTGAAGAAAATAGTTAGTTGCAAGAGTGTGGCTATGAAGGGAAGACTTTATGTGTAATATTTGGAGTGTGCAATTCAGTGAGACTGTTATAGTTCCTATATTAAAATTCGTTGCCAGGAAACGGCTAGTGGAGACTGTAATAGATTGAGGACACTAGTCTATGAGTGTCAGTAATCTTTAAAGTGTAGGCACGAGTCGTGAGTGTATAAATGATCATTAATCTATTCACCAATTCAGAATCTCGTCTATAGTCACACATATTACGTGACAGTATCCTCCATCCTCATTAAGTGATGACATAATTACATTCTGGATACTGAAGTCGGTTCGAATTTCTTATGTCTGACAAAAAATAAAAGGATTTAACTTCATTTTTCCCCTGGGTTCCAGTCAGGGGTATTAAATAAAGTTAAAAGTGTGTTACATCAGAAACATTTATTACCATAATACATGTCTGAAATTCAGTCTTAACTGGAACACTATAGTACTGAGTAACCATTGATAAGTAATTAGTAACGTTTCCATCACGATTTCTCCATACATTCACATGAAACCGATCTGTAGTTCTTATCGGTCCTTTATTTGGCTGACAGTAAGAGAAGACTCTGAAATTGTCCTTACGTCTATGATAGACAAAAGCACAAAGAAAGTTGAGGCAACGAAAATAAGTTATGGCTTTCAATGAGTGTACTAATTACGATGATGAGTAAAATATATGTGTTTAACAATATGAATGAATTAACAATAAATACTTAGCATGGCAGAGTAGTACGAGACGTTAATATGCATGTCACAAATTTTAAATATATTGTAAAATATATTAAACATAGGCGAGAATAAATTATCGTGATCCGTAAAAGTGACTTGAAGTCAGTGATGAGTGTTTCATCCGTTTGAAGCCGTATACAAGTTTATAATCGCCATGACACTCCTAGAAAATAAGTTACACCAGTTTCAGTTAATATTATATATTAGTAATTTAATTCTAATATACAATAATAATCCCAATATTCTTCAAGTGTCACATTATATTGACAGGCTATATGACACATGTATATTTTAATTGCGATAGAATTTATACTCGTAGTCATCACATGGAATGAGTTTTCAATAGAGCGCTGCTGTGAAGTGAATTTTCGGCGTTATTTTTCAGCTCTATTTGACGGAAGGATTATCCGAATTTCTCGCCTGAGTTCGGAATCCCCCTCCAAACCCAAATGAAGAACTTGCTGCATATTATCCTCTACGAGAGTTATGGCTTGTCTCTTAAATTTTACAGGCGTCATTGTTACTGGTAGTATTTGGCATGCTACAGTGAAAGTTCGTATAAACACTTCTTGTCTCGAAAGTACAGAAACTAAAAGTTTATAAGCAAAAAGGCAGTTTTCATTTGTTCTTCAGTTCTCAAGTCATGTATTAAGTACGATAAGCTGTTCTACTATCAAAGATGTTTAGCCTTTTAAATGTTGAATTTCTTCGAAATGATATAAAAAATGAAGTTCGTACCTAAGAGGAAACACATTAATTCTCCTCTACAAAGACCACCCGGTTAAGGCTGTTTTGGAAAAAAAAAATCATTGCTTATTACGAGAACCATACGAAACACACAAATATTCTGTGTTGGCAGAATGCAGAGACATGGCATGTTAAAACAGTTGAAACATATGGAACCACTGAACTTTAAAGGGTTAAATATTCTCAGAATCAATAACACTGTTTAGCGTAATTGCATCTACCCAAAAAGTAAGAAGATACATACAATTTTCTTGGATTCTCAGACGTATCTGTTGGTTAAAAATTATCGACCTTGCAAGGCTCATATCTGTCCACGTCACTAGACCCTGATGATGCGAACAGAGGTGGTCCCTGAAACGCTGGTAATTTGTGACCAATTTTCAAGGCGGGTAGTGCAAGAAAACTTCATCAACTTACAAGGCGAAGTGTGTGTAAACGGCGAGGCAAGATATAGTTTAGCAGAGCGATGTCCTGTTTGCTTGAAATGAGGAATATCTCTCCACTGCAGCCACAGTAACTGTCATTAATAAAACGTTTCATACAGTGTACATCAATTTAGGCGCAAGCGTGTATCATATTAATCAGGTTAACTGGCATTATCAATCCCTTAATGGTAAATAAGTTCTGCGTCATGAGCATAACTGCCCAGACTAAGAGCATCTTCATGGGAGGCTAGAGGCGCGTGGGCGTAGGAGACGACAGGAGCTGCCACGACCTTTTGGACAGGAACGGCCACCTTAACAGGGGCGGCGGGGTGGACAGCTTGTCCGGACTTCGTGACGACAGCGTTGAAACCACTGTGATGGTCAGCGGTGTATTTAACAGTGCGGGTTGTACCATCAGGCTCCAACAGACTGTAGTATCCTTCAACCTTGTCACCAACGCGCTTCTCGGCCTGCTCCTTGATGTCCTGAGTATGAGTGTCCTTAACTCCGTACTTGAATTCGTACTGTGGTGGGGACTGAAACATAAAATAAAAAGTCCTCTTAGAAATTACTTCTCTAATTATTAGCCTACTTGTTTTAAAAAATGAACGTAGCCTTATGCAATCTCCACGCTGCATGTGCGTCTGATCCCCCCTCCACTCCTCCCAACTTTAATTGCAATGAAGTATATATTATGCATTCAGGGAGGTTTTAAATTACAGGAAGTTCATATGAATCACTGGTACACTTATTATCTATTAGAAGATACAGAAAACACATAGAGGAACAGAAACCTCATAAGATCATAACATTCGCTTGCCTTATAAATAAGAAACAGAAAAAAGAAGAGAAAAATTTGTATTCTTCTATTTAGTGATTCAATAAGAAAATATTGGACATGAAAAGATCATCATTTAGCAAATATTTATGTCTGAGGCTATCATATTTGGCCCAACCTCGTTCTCAGGGCTTCGTTGAGAATATAAGACCAAGCACTAAGCTGTTTGAGGGGTCGGAAATAATACCCATGTACAAGAAAAATAAAATCATCACCTGTAATCCTTCGACTCTTATTGAAGTAAACATACGAGTATCTGACAGCTGAACACAGATAATAACATAGTAAGCCACGGAACATGATCCAGGGTCAGTTCCATCTGTCGTCCAATATCACAACGAATTTATTTAGGATTCATATTGTGGCTTATAGACCCGTTACTAAGAGCTGACTCTATGGATACTGGCCGTTGCTATGTGATGTTCGCAAGCAACAGTAGAGGAGGTGTCACGATACGTGACATGTACAGCCGTTGCTACGGAACGCCCGTAGTTTACGTGTGCGTGGTGACGTCACAAAATAGAAGATGTGGTGCAGGAGATGTTCTCTAGGTCCGCTCAGGGACTATGTAAGTAGACAGAACAGAACCAAATCAGAACGAGAATGGAGAACGGGTGAGTGCAGTGCAGTGCAGTTGAGGAATGCGGAGCAGTAACCAAAGGACAACGGAAGTTAAGATCCGTTCCCACAAAACATATAGTGGAGACACGGCAGAGGAATAGCCGTTGTGGAGAGCTGTAAAGACAAGTGAATGTAGATCGAAAAGACTTAGTGTGGAGTGATTTATAGAGTGGACATTTGTAGTTACAGCCTATAAGAGGTCAATAAATCTATTCATCATTCCAGGCTCCATCTATAGTGACTAATACAGGCGACAATATTAAATTCTTCCCTCCTCCTCGGTCGGACCAATGGCAGTTCTCCAAGCGCTTTCCCGCGAAACCTTCAATTCTACTGAAATAGACAGGGTTGTTTGACAGTATTGTCAGGTGAGAAGAAAGATTAAAATATTCAGAATTAATGGATTTTGGACCTTTTCTTTACAGAGAAGCTGTTGCGGATGATAATCTGTGATTTGCATCTCATGAGGAAAATTATATGACTCAGATATGCAGTGGATACCACCGAAACATTCGCTTTTTACTCAAAATTTCGACATTAGTTCTTCTTGGCCAGGCCATGGCAGAAAACATAGTAAGTGCAGCTCTAGCCCTAATGAAAATGACAACAGTTCGATTCCTCTTTGAGACTATGAGTGTGGGTAACTTTTCCTCTGAAACCACACAATTTTTAGATCAGTCCTCGTACAGAATGAGAGCTTCTCTTTAGTGTCTCGACGTTCGACATTAAATTTAACTTGAATTGACATAATTTGGGTCTCACGTTATCCTTTTCCAAAATTCTCGGATATATTCCTATTTTCAGGAATTCAAATAAAACTGTCACTTTAGGTCTACTATATCACTTCCAGATTCGGGTAACGCTTGCTACCATTCAGTCCAGAACCTTTTGTCTTCCCGTTTGCTGTCTGGAAAACATAAAAATCAGAATATACAAAACTGCAATTTGCCTGTGGTTTTGTATGAGTGTGAAACTTGATGTCTAATATTAAGGGAAGAAAATATACTGAGGGCGTTTGAGAGCAGGGTGCTGAGGAAACTATTTGGACCAAAGAGAGATGACGTGACAGGAGGTTGGAGAGAACTGCATAATGAGGGGCTTCATAACTTGTACTCTTCTCCAGGTATAATTAGAATGATCAAGTCAAGGAGGATTAGATGGGCAGGGCATGTATCACGAATGGGGGAGAAGAGGAATGCATACAGGATATTTGTGGGGAAGCCAGAAGGAAAGGGGCCACAGGGAAGACCAAGACGTAGGTGGGTGGACAATATTGAAACGGATCTCAAGAGAGAGAAAATGGGATGATATGGACTAGAGCGAGTTGGCTCTGGGTAGGGACCGGTGGGGGGCTCTTGTGAACACGGTAATGAACCTTCAGGTTCCACAAAATACTGGGAAGTTCTTGAGTAGCTGCAGAATTGGCAGCTTCTCAAGAAGGGCTCAGCTTCATGAGTGATATCTTTTCCAGCAAGAGGGGATAATTGTGTCGTCGTAACATTCTCTTGCTCTTTATGTCGCCTATATTCCACTGTTACACTTAGGAAATCCAAATTTAAATCTATTATTCGTATTATGAGAGGAGGTGGGTTTCCCCATGCACTTAGACCAGTTATTGGTCCATTGTGCGCCCCCCTTTAATTTCTACTGTCGCTATACCCTACCGGTACTGGTGCGTGATATCAGCCCCGTTCAGCCAACGAGGTCGGCCGTCGGTACCTGATATTTCCCCCATCTACCAGAGGCATTGGAAACTACTTGGGCGGGAAATTGTTGCCTAATTTTGCTCAGAGGTCTCCTAGAGACATGAGGTTCTTTTGCGTGCCGTAAATCTACGACACGGGACACACGGCTTAAAGTCCCTCCCGGAGGACTTGTTCCCTGAATTTTTCCGTCCTTAAAAATTCCACGACCTCCGCCGGGTTTGAACCCGCGTACCTTGAGTCATTAGGTGGGAACGTTCCCCCTAGGCCGCTAAATTTAAATCTAAATTTGCATGCAGCTGTTATTTAGAATGAGTAATAATGAAAATATCGTATATAGGCAATACGTACACCTCGCGTGGTTTAAATATATCCAGTCTATAGGGTAAAGTGATGTCAGTTTGTGAAGTAGGGAACGATTACCATTCGCTGCATTTCAAGTATTACTGTCTAAATTAAATATTGTCCTCCCGGTCATGGATCTATGAACGAGGGCTTCTGTGCCTCTAGCTACAACTGGAAAATTATGCCATACTCTGCTTAGGACCAGCGATCCCGTATTAAACACAACTGTCCTGAACGAAGTCCACATTATAATTATTATTCATTAATTTAGAAAGTAATTGCCTTGTAGCTTTATAGATAATTGTTAGATAACAAATGACTGAATTTGCTTTTAAAATATATTTTTGATGTGACATTCACTTTAGGAAATTCTTGCAGTAAGGGCCGCTGTCTGCAATGTCCAAAAGCTTAACCTTGTACCATGTTTCTCCTCTGTCTATATCTGTCTCTGGCTCTACAGCCCTTTGTTGGGACTTGGCAGTTTTTCTAATGTTTTGATCTTTTACACAGTCGGTAGGACTTTTTGGACGGAGGATCAGCCCGTCACAAAGCCGCTACCTACACACAGAACAACACAAACGCAGAATAAACAGGCACAGACATCCATGCTTTGAGTGGGATTCGAACCCACGATCCCAGTGTTTAACTGGGAGAAGACAGTTCATGCCTTAGACCGCGCGGCCACTGCGATCGGCATGTTTCTCCTATACGATAAGATATAATATGACAAATTCATATAGCAGAGTGTTTAAAAACCTAACAGTTGATTAGCTACTCAAGAAATTATCCACCCTCTATGGGAACCGTAGGTTTATTATCGTGTTACAAACGCTGGTCTGGATGTGCCATAGCTCAGGTTCGAACATGGCGGCCCGAATTCAATCAAAGTTCTGTTCGATTTGTAGTAGAAAGTGGCACGGGGGCAGGTTTCCGTCAAATACTTTCGTTTTCCCTCAATAATGTTTCCATCAGCTGCTCCATATCCATTTATCGTCAGAGCATCGAACGCTGTAATCCTGTCGTCTCTATACTGACAGCATCGTTGTTAAACAACAGAATCCGCCGTTATTCAACGTCCTTATTCACATGAATCTAGTCCACATTCATATTCTATTTCTTCAAGATTTATTTTAATATTTTCATGTATGGGGGGGGGGTTGACGTGACTAATAATAATGTGTTCTGGGTCTGATGGTGGGGTTTATTGGCACTTCTTTACAGTTACAGTCAATTATAACAGCTCACACACTTAACTTAGTCTGAACAACGTCTGTCTGACGAACGCTTTAGGAAGAATCTCTGACTCCTCTCAGAACTTCTCTGGCTGAGTCTGAGGCTTATGTTACCACCGACGTTCAGCCGGCCAGTCTATCTTGAAATAAAGCACCCATCTGGTTCTTATGACAGATTTTTATTACTGTCTGACAGTTACGGGTTTGCTGATGCTGGGCTCTCTCTCTCTCTCTCTCTGACGAGAGGACGGATCTGTACCTCGTAGTTTACAATTGCTGCTGGTCCTCGCCAGCGCAGTCATTTTTGGGTCCGAGTCCAGTGGGACTCGTGTCCATATTTTATTGTCTCAAATTCGAGATTTCCCTTTTCGTCGCCTCCTACGACACACACGGTCACGGTGGAGGTATTCGACCCCGTCTCCTCACAGGATTCACAAATGAACTCCCTTTTATAACTTCGAGAGAACCGAAGAGAGATCAATGTCTCCAAGGGTTCCACTACGTTCTTCATGAATGTGTTGTCTCGGAACCCGTGTGTTAATTCCGAAGCAACGGTCTCGTCTCTGAGTGTTTGCAACTTTCAGTGTGTGTACCCATGGAAAAAATGTTTCGTAATCAGTTGGTTTCCAGGAATCAGTCTCTCCGAGGCAACGTGTTTGCCCGTTCATTTTCCCGAAACGGTCCACGTGTTACAATATTATCCTTCCTGGGCAATGGTTTTACGATCCCCGTAATCGTGACACAGTAAAATACGGTCATGAGTCCAGCGGGACTCGGAGCCAAGAATGGCTCTGCTGGTGAGAGCCGGCAGCAATTTACTTGACCGAAATTATCCTTCCATCCTAACCTAGGTCTCACGAGTGGTTAATTTTATTCAATTTCGCGTGCTAAAATTGTGCATGTAGTTTTCATGTCTCTCATTCAGGAATAATCAGACAGTATGCAAAGTAAATATACAGGAATGAAAGTGAACTTTCCACTCTTGCCCACTGTTTACATAACTCGGGTTCGAGCACAAACATCAGATACTTACATCGTGTTCCACTTCCTTGATCACAGGTGCGTGAGCTATTGCGATGGGTGCGTGTGAGATTTCCAGCGCTGGAGCATGCGAGAGAGCTATAGGCGCTACGGCCAGGTGGCCGTAGCTTTCCTCGATGGCCGACACTGGTATGGCCGGTACAGCTGCTGCCAGCGCGCTCAGAATTGTAACCACCTGTTAACAGGAGAACCATCAACATTGCATTCCTCCACAAGTATGTCTGTTTTCATGGTTAACTAATTCCAGAGACTTTAGAGTTCTTGAGAAGCTAAGGAAATACACCCCATCCTCCTAGTATGGAACCTGAAAGTTCATCATCCCTCTCTTGAGTCAGAAGAACACAGTTCAGACTTCCAACACAAATTTCTTTGAGATCCATTTTAATAAGTTCTCCTCCTACCGACACTGGGGCACGCGGTAGCGTGGTTGGTTGAGGCACTATATTACAAACCGGAAAGTCGCAGGTTCGATTCCCGATTATGTTATTGGATTTTTCACTTGACGTAACCTAGCAGCACTATGGCCCTGTGGTCGACTCATCCTCTAACAGAAATGAGTACCAGGTATCTTTCTGGGGGTCACAGGCGGCAGGCGCGTAAGACTGACAACCTCACCGCCATCTGTGAGCCGATTATCTAGAAAATGTGGCAGCTTTGACATCTCACAGCCCTATGAGCCTCCACGGCCCGTTACAGGGATAGTTTTACCTATTTAATTTAACCTATCGACGCTACATAATCCAGATATAAAGGCGTGATGAAATAAATCATAAAAATTTACCCTCCTTAGATCTACGAGTATTCGCAGGCCCTCTGCCCACAAAAGTAATCTCCATTTTTTTCCATTTTCCAAGGTCATTCCATATCCGTCCAAGTCTGAGGCTTTGAATAACATTTCGTAAGACGTTAGGCTTTTGTAGTCTTAACATGCAAGTCTCCCCGTCCAGCTCACAATCTTAAGGACCACCCCTCGTCGGCTGCTCGCAATTAATTATTCAACATATTCTTTATTACCCACCATATCTGGAGGTCACCCACTCCAACCGCAACCTGAGGATAGGCAATGCCATGGCGATAGGGGACATCCGGGATAAACAGGACTTAACTTTTCGTCGACATGAATATGAACATTCGACTATACATTATATTTTCATGTGTTAGTAGAATTCAGAATCTAATCTTCAGGATAAGAATTGCATTCATTGTAAGTACTTCGTGTTAACACTTCTAGCAACAGAAGAATACAAGCGCACGAAGTGAATTCCGAAATGTCATCCAACAGGAAAGCAATTAATGTAGAGCGTGATTGCTGAGGCATAAATAGGTCGAACGAATTCGTATTCGACTGAGGTCATGATGATACACTGACCTGGTTTCCTCCAACAATAGCTCTGTGACCCACAGAGCTTTCTAACCTACCTACACCAGCAGCTGTTTCTAGGAGAAAAACGCCAGGCTTCGAATCTGGTCTATTTTTGTAGTAATTATTGACAGATTTTTAGGAACATCGCTCCATTTGCTTCTTCGAAAGTAAAGGGTTGAAGCGCAGATCAATTCTTCCTCTTATTGAAAGAAACTACGAGTACTAAGCATTAGAAAGGCCGCGCAATAGCTCAAGCGGTTAGTCGCTGGCTTACCACCGCGGCGGCCAAGGACAAGTGGGATTTGTGGTGGACAAAGTGGCGCTTGGGCAGGTTTTCTCCGAGTACTTGGGTTTCCCCTGCCAATCTTCATTCCACCAATTGCTCCACAATCACCCTCACCTATCATCTGGGGCTGGTATAATAGGTCAGAAGTGGCCGCAGTACAAGGGACTTAATCCCTTAGTCACGTTCATACAAATCGTCACATCTGTGTATTACAGCGGCATGTGAAGTAGATAACTGCCAATTCTCGATTTACGCGCCTTTCTTTTACGCGTGTCACTTCTTAATTTGCGTCGTTTTAGTTCTCACATCTACGTAACAGCATAATAAGTAGCAGGCAATTTCGTGATTTACGTCATTCAGTTCTCGTTTTAAGATGATCAGGTGATCAGTAATAGACAACATGGCGGAAGGCAAATTGTTAAAGTAAACAGAAGCTGCGCATAAAGATGATACGTGTATAAAGATGTAAATAAAATAATTCTTAAAATAATTGACGAACTAAGCAAAATATAGGGCATGCGGTATCGTAGTTGTTTGAGGCACTGTGCTACAATCCGCAAGATCGCGGGTTCGATTCTCGATGAGATCATTTGATTTATCAATTGACTTAATCCTTCCAGCACCGCTATGGCCCTGGCGCCATCTCGGGCTCTTACAGAAATGAGTAACAGGACCCTATCTGGGAGTAAAGGGCGGTCGGCGCGTAAAGCTCACATCCTCACCGCCATCTGTGAGCCGATTGTCTAGAAAATATGGGAGCCTCGACGTCTCGCAACCCTGTGGGCCTCCACGGCCTGTTATAGCCATAGCATTTTTACCTAAGCAAAGAGCGGTCGGTATAACGATAGAATATTGACTGAACCGTCCGTGTTTCATTCCCAGCATTCCACAGCGTCCAGACAGATCCTTGGGTCCACCCAGCCCCTTATCCAGTGGGTACTTGGACTTTTCCCCCGGGGTAAAGCGGCAAGTACGTGAAACTTATCAGTCACTTCAATTTAGTGCCGAGGTCAAGATAGGCGGCTCTATACAGCTATTCCGTCATGTCTTCGTGGCGTGGTGCTTAACTAATCAAGCACATAGACAAATTTACCTTTACTAAGCAAAATATTAATTTATAACCTTCTAGGTTTGATTTTCCAGCGCATGCATCCTGATTTGTGCGTTTTTAATTTTTTCGGGGTTCTTCAGGAGAGCATCTGCCGTTTAATCCGAGAAGTCACTGTACTGCTATGTGGTTTTTCTGTATTGAACTAGGACTGAAGGTGACAATAGCTTACATAATTTCTTCAAATATATGAAAACATATGTCTCGGGCACCTTTCAAATTACCATTAATTTACAAAATCTGCAACAAACATAGCTATGCGCCTATGCATGAAACAATTATAGACGTTAGTGCTACGTGGGCCCTTCTAGCCTAGCCGTCAACTCTATCTGTACAAACTCCGTGGTTTTAGTGAGCAAGCGAACTATATCGACCAAGCAACCGCCTCTTGTCGGCGAAGGCGCCTCTGTGATGTCGTTGTTAGAGTTCCTGGTTACACATCCAGAGGCTCGAACGGGGTCCATTCAGTCTCGTGGGGATAATTGAGGAACTATTTCAAGGAAATAGTGGCTCTGGTCTAAAATCCGAAATTAACGGCCGTGGAGATTCGTTGCGCTGATCACGCGACACTGTGTATCCGCTGAATTTGGCAAGTCCATCTGTTCAGTCAAATTAAGTGAGTGGTTGAAGATTTGGGGATTTCCTCTCTTCAGCACAGTGTCGAGACCGTTATGGGTCTCACCCAGCTTGTCTGTGTGGTGTCGTGTAACGAAAGCAGGAGCTTAATATAATTAATTTTGCAGGACAGAGACAGAAGTAATCCTAAACTATGTAAATCCAATTGTACGCTGTACTGCACAAGGAGAAGCCATGGATAGGAAGTATAGGACTTGAAACTTGGCGGACGGTCAGGCCTACGACCGTTCAGCTGATCGAAATGGTTAAAAAGTGAAGGCATAACCTGCTGCACAGATCAGCGTTGACAGAAAACCTCTATATACAAGGGTTGCGGTTTCGATTTCCGATGAGGCCATTAGATTTTCTCAGTTTAGCTAATCCTTCCAGCCGCACTATGGCCCTGGGTTCGAATCAGCTTCTAACAGAAATTAGTACCAGGAATTTTCCTGGTGGGTAAAGGGCGGCCGGCGCGTAAGGCTAACAAACTTACTGCCATATTTGAGCCGATTTTCTAGAAAATATTGGTGCCTCAACATCTCGCAACTCTATGAACCTTCACGGCCAGTTACAGGGATAGCTTTAACTTTTTTCTTTTTGGCACTATAGCCCCAGTGGGCCTAGGCCTACCTCCATGAACTTCTCCGTTCACTTCGGTTTTTCTAGATCTTAGACATTCGGTAGGACTCCTTGGCGGGTTATCAGCTCGTCGCAAGGCCTCTACCTGTACACAAACACTGAAAAACGCACACAAACATCCATGCCCCCTGAGTGGGATTCGAAGCCACGATCCTGGTTTCCAAGCGAGCGAAGACAGTGCATACCTTAGACCGCTCGGCTACCCTGACCGGCGTAGGCGTTATTGCATATGCAAAATTGATCACCTTTTAAAGTGAGCCTTTATGGCTGCCTATCAACGATACATCGGTGGACATAAATTTCTAGACGTGGTAATTATATGCTTCATGTGATCTTCTAGATCTATCCAGCAGAACAGTTCGGAATGGAAAGGGAAAAAGAAACATGTTACCCTATAGATTCCAGCAAGTTAAATCTATAAGACTAATATCAATAGTGATTGATCTGAGAGAATGTTTTCAATTAAAACTGTCCGTGATATATGTGCTTCACGATTAGGTTCTGTTCGTTGTTTCACCTTTCACTCAGAAAGTGACCTCATGAAAATCTTATGTAATAGGTCTAGCATTAAGGCGCTGATCAGATAATTTCCTCCAGTAAAGCACACAGCTGTGATTTCTGTCTTCCCTGTAAGACACAGTTCTTAACTCCATCCCATCGCTTGTCCAAATATATCGAATTCACAGCACGAAATGTCTGATGCTTACTTAGCTGCTCAACAAAATACCTGCTTTTTGGAGCATGAGGGTTAATTACCGTCACTGGGTCGGATCCCGAGAAATTTCACGTCCTCACGCAAATATCTCCAAACCAGCGATGAATTTATTTGTAATATCAGCACTTCCTTCGGGCAACATTATATTCTTTCTTCCAATATATTGATATAAACATGGAGCCGGGATAGTGTAGTCGGTATAGCGACTAGCTACGGGTGGACGGCTGAGGGGTAGGAGTTCGAGTCCCGGTAGGGGCAAGAATTTTATCGACTCCACGTCGTCCAGACCGACACTGGGGCCCACTCAGTCTCCTATCCATTGTGTACCGGGGGCTCTTTCCCTTTGGGGTAAAGCGGCCGGTGCGTCAAGCTGACCATTCACCTCCAAATAGTGCCAAGGTCAAGAAAACATTGATCTATACATCTACTTCCCCATGCGTCTTCATGGAGTAGTGTTTAATCAGTTAAACAAAGGGACAAATTTACCTTTTTCATCCATAGAAATAAACTGTGTCTAAAACATCTTTAAGGTTAAGTCATCATCAGAGAGTGACGTAGATCCTTATGTCATCATTGGAAGTATAATAGATTATATTTTGAACATGTGATGGGAACGAAAACCACCACACCTGAGATCTGGTTGATCAAGTGGGA